GATGCCATTAGATTTAATGAGAGGTCTGAGTAAGAATATTTAATAAAGAAGTGGACAGAATTATACTTTAGTATATATAGTAACAAATAAAAAGTTGATAAGTTCTGATTGAGCTAAAGTTATAATCTGCCAGATTTCATAAATAATCACAGCACTCAACATTATTAGCTATGTGTAAACACGCTGTTTGAAAACAATATGAAAAAGCCATCATCTTTTAATTTTTTTGTCCTGTAGATTACAAAGCCTGGTATATTATTTTTTTTCACAGATAGTTAAGAGGCAAATGATTACAAACTTCTAATTAAAGGGTTTCAAAAATGTGCTTGGAACATAGTGGGGGCTCAATAAGTATTTAATGAATGAATTAAAGAAATAATGAATTTATGTTTTACTGTAGCGTGGTGATAGGAAAATAGGGTCTGATGGCACTCAATTATGATATATAGAATTTTCTGTCTTGCAATTTGTCTTTAAATGTTAATTAACATGAATACTTGTGAGTCATCTAAGTTTGAATTATATTATACATTATTAAGTAGGGCTAAATATTTTCAGCAACTATTTATTTTAGCTGCTAAAGTTGCTGCAGTAAACAGTAGTGAGAAAATTAGAGCCAAATAAAGCCAAAAATTCCCAAGCTATTGTTTTGAAGGAATTTAACCTATCACACTACTATGAGTATTTATTCGTTGGTCATCGGGGAAGCCAGGCCTACGGTTTTTAAACTTATAGATGTTCAAAAATAGTAACTGTAATCAGGACAATTTTTAATAACAGGACTGTGTTCTAGTGCTTTCATAACAGATGAATGTGCAAAGGGGTAGCCATTTAATTGGAAGCCAGAGAAAGAAACTTTTAGAGATTTTCTGTAAACAATAAAAATTCTTATAACCCTCATAAGTTTCAAGTATTCTCTCTGCTTTAAGATAGACCCATCCCCCACTTCCCCCCAAAAGGGGACAGATGAACCTCAACCTCTGCATAAACCTTAATATAGACTGAAGTCTATATTAAACCATATCACCACCCACATGATCTCTAACAGTTAGATGGACAGAAAGTTAATATAGGCCAGTCACGCTGAAGAAGAGTCTCTCAGAGAATCTGGTTCAGAAAGTTAAAAAACTTTATATCACTCATTTGGTTTAGTAATACTTGGACCCCAAATTCAATTTGTTGAATAATGTTTTAAAAAGGGCACAATTTGGGGACTAGCTGGTATTTGGGCCGTAAGATTTATTTATATATTCTGATAATGATCAATTTCCAAACAGATGGGTTATCTAGGCTTTGACCAATGCCTTTTTGTTTCCTAACACATTGTATTCATCCAAGAGGTTTAAGGGATTGGCAAGGAAGGGAGTCTCGACCTTAAAAAGTCAGAAATGCAGGATCTACAGGTATAGATGACATTTAATCAAGGAGGCCTCAGCAACATCTGGGAATTGATATACGAAGTAAAGCCATTGCTTATTAGAACTGGTAACATTATCATTTTATTATACAAAAGAATGGAATAGCCTCTTGATCATATAAAATGCTAACTGACCTCTACAATGGTGTACAAATCCCTGTTGAAAGGTATGCTATTTATTCCAAGTTACGTTTCTTTATTTTTTTTTTTTAGGGAGAGGAAGGGGAAGAAGGGGAGGGAGAGAGACAGACAGGCAGGCAGACATCAATGTGAGAGAGAAACACTGGTAGGTTGTCTCCCGTATGTACCCCAATAGGGGATCAAACCTGCAACCTGGGTATGTGCCCTGACTGGGAATCGAACCTACCACCTTTTGGTGCACAGAGGACACTCCAACCAACTGAGTCACACAGGCCAGGGCCAATCTATGTTTCTTTAGACTAGCCAGCCACCCTGGGAAAATAAAGTAATTCAGCAGACTCTTTAGAGATTACTTTATGATAAAATTTAGTCTAAAAAATAATTCAAATTATTTACTTATAGGTATAGTCTCTTCATTCCTATCTTCTTTTGATAATCTAACCTACACATTACTGCTAGATTAATTTTTCAAACAGAAGTATAATTACATTATCCTACTCCAAAAATTTTCACATATCTTCATTATCTGCCAAAGCAAGTATAGATTACAGCCTGACATTCAATGATTTCCACAAAAATGGCCTCAACCTATCTTTCCCAATTTATTTCTGAGTACTTCCTACATAGATAGCTACAAGCTCAGTCCTCCAGCAGGCCTAAATTATTAGGCAGCAGTGGATTGCTGCACCTAAGGTACTGGAGGAGCAGGCAAAAATAGTTCCTTACTTCAGCTCCAACAGAGATGTTGGGAGGTGACAACTGCTCTAGAACCTCTCTGAAACACAGATTTGATCTATCATGCTCTTGCTTAAAACCATTAGAGTGAGTTTTCATAAATCTAGGATTAACTAGATGTGGGCCAGGATGTGGCTAGAATTTAAGGGTTCCATGGACTTAGATTGGGGAATAAAATTGCATTTTTATTTTCAAAAATCTCTAACTGAAATTTGGCATTTTCTTCAATAAATGTAGGCAATAAATGTAGAGTAATATGGGCAGTCCCTATGTCTTTTGTCACCAATAGATAATAGGATATTTTCGCTTCATATTAAAGTTGTTGCAGGTATCTTAAAATATGATTTATACTCATCATTAAGTTGGAATTACAAAATTAGACCTGCTGCCAGATGATATTTACACAAAGAAGCACATATATAACTACATCACACACTTGTTTTAATATTTTTAAAACTTTGAATAAAATTGTTTTCATTCATTTCCATGTATTTTATTTTATACTTTTAAAAACATTCTGAGATAGGTGTAAAAGAGGTTATTTTCTTTTTACCTTTGTTATTTATACCAATTAATTGTTTATAGTATAAAAATGAAATGTTTTAGCATGGGATTCAAGATTACACTTTATCATATTTATCTCTGCCCCACCCCTGTTCTCCATACTATGCTCTAATCATACCATACAACAGTGACTCTCTCTTATCTGGAGGCAGAAAGACAGGTTTTTGGATTAACTCTAGTTAATAGATAGGAGCCCTGCACTGGCATGGGCTTTGCCTTTATAGCCCTTCTCTGACAGCCAAGAGAATTTTTCTTCTTTTAAAGGTTTTTCCTAATACTATGACATCCTAGAAGGCTGTATCTTAAATATGTTTATATCTTATTCCTAACTTAAATGATTGATGAAATGAATAATTGGCAAGGCACTGTGTGTAGTAATCTCTAGGAGAGTGGTTAGTCTCTGAGTTTCATGAATTGGCTCAACTCTGATCTTTTTGGGGATAAAAATGAGGATATTCTCGAGCTGTAAGGCTGGATCCCCAGCTGATAAATCCTGAATAGAAGAGAAAGGGAGAGGAAAGAGAGCTGTAACTGAGAGGACCTGATTAAAATTAAGGGATGGAACTGTGCTGAAGGGAAAGGCAGGAATGGCTTTTTCTTCCTCCACTTCCCAGAGGAGTTACTCAAAACTTTCATTAGTCTGCTCAAGCTTCTTATTCCATCCCCAACTCTCATCAAATGACTCCCATCCTAATGTCACAGAGTCAACTCCACACCTCCCTGTCCTTCCCTACTTCCCATCCTTTACCTTTCTCTAGCTTAGTGGTTCTCAACCCTCAGCATTAGTCACCTCAGGAAAAAACATTGATGACTGGACCAGAGTTTGTTTAATTGGTTTTGGGTGGAGCAACAACTGATTTTTTTAAAAAAGATTCCCAGATTATTCTAATGTGCGTACAAGGTTGAGTTCCATTAGAGCTCTTGATCCTATAGATTAGACATCCTCACCCATGAACTCTCCATTTCTTGGTTCCATGGTACACTAAGTAGACTTCCATCTTTACAGAAAATATACTTGCGGCCTACATTCTCGGTCCTTATCCTTCACAACGATGCTTCCTTAAAAGTGTAGGCTACACCAGTATGGTTTCCACCAGCTATATCTTCTCTAACTTTTTACTCTTCCGGACCAATATTGTCATATGCTTTTGTACCTGTCACTCTTTCTGCTTCTCTCTCCTATTTCTCTGACCAGCTACTGCTCATTAGCCTTCTAACACAAGTGCGCCAAAGGACGCCTTGGAAAGGGTTTCCGCATGTCCTTCTACACAATCGGGGGCCCCTCTTCTATGCTCAGAGAGTATCTGTGCTTTTTTTGTTATAATTTTACTTTACTACCACTGGGGATTCTCTCATAGTCTCCCACATAGCACAACACTTCAGAAAGCTGAAACTATTTCATTTGTTTCTGATTCTCTTGCGTCCAGTGAAAAGTAAAAAGAATGAAAGGGAAGGACGACTAAACACGGAGATCCGGCCGGGGAAAGGAGGGGAGAGGGGGCGTGTGTGTGAAAAGGGACCGGGGCTAAAAGGGGCCGCTCTGAGAACTCTGCGCCAGAATTGGGGAGGGGGTGTGGATACGCTAGATCTGCGTGGGCAGCAAAACGGTCCCCTGCCAGGACACCGACCGGCAAGCCGAAGTGGGGAGGTGCTTCTTACCTGCCTCGGGCCTCACCACCTCAACCAGCCTTTAGGTACCTCTGTCTGTATTGGCCGGAAAGCGAGAGCTATGGTCGTAAACCCAGAGCTTTCTACCCCAACCTTGCGACATTACTCTCCAGCACTGGGAGAATCTGAGGCTCTGCCGCGGAGTGAGGAAAAAAACTTGGGCGGGCCGCTTGGCGCTGACGGAATGGGGTGTGCCCGCGCAGGCGCAGACTGTACTTTCTGGCGGGGTCACGTGCGGCCGGGCTGACCAGGGTAGGCGGTAGGGGGCGTGGGAGTAAGTGCGCGCGCGCCAGCTCGTCTGCAGCTGAGGAGTCGCGCGGGGCGGGGCCGCGTGCGCGGGGTCGAAGCCGCGCGGGCGGGAGCAGACCGGAGACGGGGCGGCGGTTGATAGTGGCTGCGTAGCGTCCAACCAGGACCCTGAGAGTCGGCCGCCGAGGTATCCGCGGCACCCACAGAGGCGGCAGTTGGATGCGTGCTTTCAGGGCGGGGTGCGGCAGGGGATGTGCTGGCCCAGGCCGGGCGGAGTCTCTCTGACAGGGCGGGGGATGCGCGGCGGCCGCTCGCCCAGACCCTGAAGCCGCTGGGCCCACCCTCCCGGAACCGTCCGACTGTTGCTGGCCTCCGCCTCTGCTGTTTCCCCCGGCCTCACCCTGGGGCCGAGGGTGGGAGGCAGCTTCCGCCACAGAGGAGGGGGCTGTGTTGGCCACCGCGGCGAAAACCGAGGTAAGACCAGCCCCAGCCACCCAGAGGCCCCGCCGCCCTGCCCGGCCCTGCCCTCGTCTCAGTCTCGTTCTTGGGCTCCTGCGGGGCCGCCCGGCCCCGTCCCAGTGGAGACGCCCCACTAGCGGGTCTGCCCTGGAGCCTCCCTGACTCAGGATCACTGCCCCGGGTCCCCAGTAGACCCCATCCATCGTATCTCCTTTGGCCAGACAGCATTCCCGCCCCTAGCCGCCCCTGCGGTTCTGTCACGAGTCCCCCAACCGACAGTACGCCCCGTTAGAATCCTCCTCGGACTCTTAGGACTCTTAATGGAGCCTCCAGACTCCGTTGCAGCCTGCCGTGAGCTTACGGGATCACAGTTCCTCTGAGACCCAGTCACGGCCGCTCCCTAATCCACTGCAACCCCCAACTCTTAGGCAGATTCATCGCTGCCCACCCCCCTTCCGAGCGGACCTCCCCCTCTCCGGTCGCTCACAGCTAAGCCGACTAGCTCGTTCCCTACCCTACTGGGCTTTTAGATAGTCTGTTTCGTGATGCTCTTCCCTCCCAGTAGATCTGGTGTCAGCCACTCTTTATTTAGGCAACCCCTCTTTCCCCACCCCTCTCCCACAGACTTCTCCTTAGGCAGACCTTATCTTTTTTCCTGGTCGTGATCCTTTCTTTAGTTGAAAGGACTTAGCCATGAAATGCTAAAGGTATATTTGCTTAGTCTAGTATATTCTCCCCAGTTGGGCTTAAGGGGACTGACACCCATGTTTGAAGGGGTTAGTCTGGTGGCTATGGAAGGGAGGGAGAGGGAAGAGTATGAAAGCTCAGGGCAGGGGGTGTGTGCTGTTAGAAGGTCACACAACTTGCTTCTCATCTTGTGTCTTCTGTAGAACATGTGAACAGTCCACAGGCCTGATATTTTTGGGACCTCCGTGAAGATTAAGTCACATTCCACTAATTGGATATAACTGTGTTTCCATGTAGTATCATTTGCTTCATCTTGCAGATTTTACAGACCTTTTGCACTGGTTTTGAAGAATACTGGAAACTTTTCTTTTGATGTGCTCTTTTTGAATTTGCAGGAGAAGTAAGATTTGTAGCTTTCTTTAATCCCTAAAGATTTAATTCAATTTAATAAATTTCTGCTATCTAGTGCTGCTTGCTGTCTTGCTTTTGCAAGGCGCAAGTACAATTACCGTGCAATGTTACTGGTGTCATTACTAACAGCTTCTCAGCAATAGTAAAATATTGAATAAAAATATTGTTTGTTGAAGTTGAACTCCTGAGCTGTCAAGAAAGAAATGTAATATTACACTAAATGATCAGTGCATAATTTTAACGTTTTAGGGATGAAGTGTAGAGAGGATTTTGTAGTCAGTATATTTAAATTTTTATTTTGTGTAGAACTGAGGAGAGGGATAATCATATTTAAAATTATAGGTAATAATTAGACATAATATAAAAGTCAAAGGGGTTAAAAGAATATGTAGTAAAAAGTTTCTCTTTATCCTCCAACCACCCATTTTCACTCTTTAGAGGCAACCACTAATTCCATATTGGTGTGCGCCCTTCCTGTGATATTTCTAGCATATACATTTATATTCTTAAAACACTAAAGCATACTGCAGACTTTGTTTATAGCTTTTTATCTCCACTTAATAATAGATTCTAGAGATCCTTCAACAACAGTACATATGGTAGTGCCTCATTTACTAGCTGGATTAGTGTTCCATTTTGGTGGTCTTGAGGTATTTTCAGCCTTTGTTTTTACAAACAGTGCTGCATGCTTTTCTTTTAAATATATCAGCTGTTATATGTATGTATTAAGGATATTTCAGGATTGGAAAAAATTTCCTAATGATTCTTTTGTGCTGAACCTACCAAAAAAGATAACTAAAAGTAAATTTCATTGATCTGCTGAACTTCCATGGAGTGACTAGCTTTAATGGTGATTATATTTATCAAATAAGTTATTGAAGGATTTAAAGTAGGGGTCTGAAATAATCAGATTTGCATTTTTAAAAGTTCACTCTGTCCTGGCCAGTGTGTCTCAGCATGGTTTGGTGGTTGAGCATCTACCTATGAACCAGGAGATAATGGTTTAATCTGGTCAGGGCACATGCCCAAGTTTTGGGCTCTATCGGTGACTCTCATCATTGATGTTTCTCTCTCTCCCTCTCCCTCTGTCTTCCTTTCTCTGAAATCAGTAAAACATTTTTTTAAAAAAAGTTCACTCTGGCTTCAGTGAGGAGGATAGATTAAATTGTTTGCGGGTAGTTTTTATCGCACGCTCTACTACCACTCAACGTAAAATGTATAAATACGTTTCCCGCATACAATGTGTTAAAGGGCAGACCAAGACTAAAGGCAGGAATATTAGGAGGGTAATCCAGGCAAATGATAGTGGGTCTAGGTTTGGGTATTGGGAGTAGACAGGACTTGGTGATTTCAATGGATTTGGGATTAGGGTTCATAGAAGATAAGATCTAGGTTTTAGTTTGTACCTTTCACTGAGATGTGGGGACTCATATGAGGAAAGAGTAGAATTTTTATTTTTGTCAAGAAAGATGAATTTAATTGTGACAGGTTGAGTTTGGTGATTATACTTCTGTCAGATGTAGATGACTAGTAGGCAGCTGGATTTGTGGCTTAAGCTCATTATCAAGCTCTGAGTTCATAGTAATAGATCTTGAGGGAAAAGGGTATAGATGAGAAGAAAAGATTGTAAGACAGAAACCCAACATTTACAGTACAGGTAAAAAAGTTGAATTTCTGAACTAGTAAATTATGTGATTAAGTCTTTAAGAAATCTTGTTATAGTTTAAGACTCAATAGTGAGGTTCCCTGTCTAATGTGAGTTTTAGTGTTTCCCACCCCCCTTATTTATCATTAGTGGTATACAATTCATGAGGGAAATTGAGTAAACTTAGAATTTTTTGGGGTCTTAATTTAAAAATTTATCTTTTAAGTAGATTTTTTTTAACATTGCATTTGTTTTTAAAATTTTATTTTTCAATTATAGTTGGCATTCAATATTATTTTAGTTTCAGGTGTTCAGCATAGTGGTTAGACAGTCATATAATTTACAATGTGACCCCCCCTCACCCCCTGCCCTATGAGTCTAGTACCCACCTGGCACTGTAAATAGTTATTACCATATTATTGACTCTATTTCCTATGGTGTATTTCATATCTATCTCCTTGACTATTTTGTAACTACCTATTTGTACTTCTTAATTCCTTCACCCTTTTCACCCATCTTCCCAACCTCCCTCTGGCAACCATCAGTTTATTTTCTGTATTTATGAGTCTGTTTTCATTCTGTTTGTTCATTTACTTTGTTCTTTAGATTCCACATATAAGTGAAATCATATGTTGTTTGTCTTTCTCTGTCTGACTTATTTCACTTAGTATAATATCCTATAGATCTATCCATGCTGTCACAAATGGTAAGATTTCAGTCTTTTTTGTGGCCGAATAGTATTCCATGTGTAAATGTACCACCACTTATTTATTCACTCATCTGTTGATGGACACTTGGGTTGCTTCCATATCTTGGCTGTTGTTGGTAATGCTTCAGTGAACATAAGGGTGCATATATCTTTTCGAATTTGTGTTTTGGATTTCTTTGCATATATACCCAGAAGCGGACCTGCTGGGTCATAAGGCAGTTCCATTTTACATTTTTTGAGGAACCTCTATACTGTTTTCGATATTGGCTGCACCAATCTGCATTCCCACTAACAGTGCACAAGGGTTCCCTTTTCTCCACATCCTCACCAACACTTGTTGGTTGTTGATTTATTGATGATAGACATTCTGACAGGTGTGAGATTATATCTCATTGTGGTTTTAATTTGCATTTTTCTGATGATCAGTTACTTTAAGCATCTTTTCATTAAATTTAGATTTTTTTAAGAAAAAGTAAAACCTCAGAAATTAGTAATATAAACTCCATCTTTCTTAACCATTTGGCTTATACTATTAATAGAAGTTTGTTCTGTCCTCACAGAGAATTGCAGGAGGTTTGAAATGTGGTTTGCCAAGAATATGAAGTTTTTAGTTTGCATGATTTTTAGTTATGTTAACTTAAAATAAATATTGGTCAGAGGATTTTCTCTCATGTTTCAAAACCATAACACCAACTTAATGTATTTATTTCCAAGTCTAGAGTTGCTGTGTAGAGCTCTTGCCTCTACTCTAGACCCCTGTAAATCACTGCTAATGGACATTTCCACTTGGATTCACATTTCACAAGCACTTCAAACATACATGTACAATATAAAACTCTTCTCTGCCTCTTTCCCCCCAAAAACGGTAAGAAGGAGGCAAACTGCAACAAAATTTTTCCTTTTGATTTCCTATTTTGATGAATAGCACCACTCTTTCCTCATGAAGCCTTTAGGAACCTGGGAATCATCTTCCACTACACTCTGTACCAACATCACTAAGTCCTGCACATTCTCCCTCATGACATTTCATATCATTCCTAATTGATATTTTTGCTGTCTCTACTTCATTTTAACCCAAAGTATCTGTTGGGTTTTTTTTTTTTTTTAAACGTTTGTTTTTTTTTACTTGAGTTTAGAGGGAGAGGAAGGGAGAGGGATAGAGAGAAACATCCATCAATCGGCTGCCTTCTGCACACCCCCCCACTAGGGATCAATCCTGAAACCCAGGCATATGCCCTGACTGGGAATTGAACCAGTGACCTCTTGGTTCATGGGTCTATGCTCAACCACTGAGTCGTAGTGGCTGGGCTGTGTTGGGCTTTTGTAAAGCTTTCTAAGTGGTTGTCTTGCCTTCTCTCTTCTGTCTGTTATACCATACCCTCCAGTTCATTCTCTGCATTGCTGCCAGAGTAAGTGTTCTAAAATGCTTTTAGTTGGGCTCTTTCAGGCAAAGAAGAGACTCAAGTTACCTTACGTAGCGGAGTGCTTATTGAAAGGAAACCCAGGAAACAAGGGAACCCAGGAAAAGTTAAACTACTTAGTTTCAAGAAGAGCAGGAGCTTA